TCTGCGAGCATGCACAATCTTCTCAGTTCAACAGTCAGCATGGACATGTATTAGCCCCAACAACAAATAAGCTAGAATCAGTCATGGCTTTTACCAAAGCTAGTGAGTATGAGAAAGTCTGTTTTTTCTTTCATTTTTGAAAATCCTAATTTCATAAAAAAACATAAAACATCTGGAGAAAAAAAAAAAGAGCGTTAGTCTCACTTTTGGGCAGAGACATGAAAGTATTGGTTTCTGGCTGGAAAAAGAGAGAGGAAGAGCCAGAACTGACTGAAGAGCATCATAAAACTGGCTTTTATTTCAAACAAAGGGTGCACCCCTGAGCAGCTATCACAACAGAAAGCTGTCCTGACAGCCAGGCTACCAACCAGCCCCATTGCTCTGTTTTTTCACCATCACGGCAACCCAGAAAACCTGGAATTTCAAATCTTAAAAAAACCTGCACCAGATTGGTTTTCTAACTATACTCTGGTTATACTGCAGTTTTGCATTAAATTTTAGATATAAAGAAACTTTTGTTGAGGTTCTTCAGCACCAAAATTTTCCATGTTCACCCAAGAGTGGACTATACCATTTAATCAAGTAAGACATATCCACAGGCCACCAGCGGCCACAAATGGGTTCTAAATCACCTCAGTTCTCCCCAGTAGGCTCAGAAGACTGTTCTCAAGACAAGAGGTTTGCAGATAGTATAAAATTGCAAATATATGACTTCTAGAAAAGCTAAGTAGCAATCTCATCTGCTGGAGAACAAAAAACAAAGCCAAACAAATGACAACAAAAAACCACACTAAACAAAAACCCCAAACAACAAACAAATAAAGCTTATTCAGGGAAAATCTCAGATAAAGACAAACCTCAGAACTAGATAAATTTACATAATAGAAGTCTATATAAACAAAACTGGGGGAAGTCTTGAGTGCAGGGTATGCTTGAAGTGTAAAATGGTCACCAAACACTAGCAATGAACTTGAAGGAAAAAAATAAGATCTATTAATAAGAAGTGTATGTAGTAAGTACTTAAATTAGGACTGAAACAGACTGGAATATCCAGGGAAAACTATCTTTATCTGAAACTTTCTTTTAATGATGATGGTAAAAGTGAAAATGTATATCCAAATTTATAGCTTATAGTACTGTATTCCCTAAGGGCATCAGCTTTCAGCTTTTTAGAACAAAGGAAATGCATCCAAACCCTGAAGCAGGTCACAGAGCAGGGTGGCAGACTGCAGAGCTCACCCTCCCCATTTAACTAACTGTAAACTTTCTTCCAAGAAGGTTCAGTGGGAGGTCAAGATCTATCAAAATAACATTCAGATGCAAGGAAATCTTGGATGAAAGGGATGCATAGTTTACAAATGCAGGAAAAGTCTCATCTACTGCTCTCACAACAATTTTAATTACCTTATTTAAAAACTGAACATTTTTAGCAACACTTTCAGGATCATGTGAATATTACTGCTAGCCAGAATAAGTTTTAAAAGCCATATCACCATTTTTAGCTTTAAAAATGGCCACTTATTCCCACTAAATTAGTCCACATTACAAAGTGAAGTTTTTAGTTACAGCAACAAATGCAACAGCTGACATTGCATACACAAGAAAATCTCCAAGACTACACAGCTCAAGAAACACATAAAGGCTGTTTATCATTCAGCAATAATATAAAGAAGAACAGGATAAAATGTGATAATTCTGCTGAAACCAAACTTATA